TTCAAAATATTTGCGACACACCCTTGTTATGTTCGTTTCCTCTACTCCTCCACCTCCTTCATCGTCATCCTTGTCCTCCTCCCTGTTGCTGCATTCATCCAAATAATAACAAAAATTATTGCCCCGCATTTTACTGCGATTCCGCTTCAAACGCACATAACGTTTTGTTTTTGTATGTCTTCGTACAAATTCCACCTTTTGATCTTCACTCAAAGACCAAAAGGTACGGCACATTTGTAGGCGTATAGCTTCGCTAAATTTCTGGGAACATTTCTGTTTGCAAATATCTCGACAGAGAGCCAAGCCAGGACGTTTATCACCATTGTCTGTAAATTGTAGGGCATATTTTCGAGGTCGACCTTTTCTTCTGGTCAATTTAATTAAGGGTTCATCGTCTTCATATTCCTCCCGTGAATCTTCTCCATTATCACTATCTCCCTCCTCTTCGTCTTCTTCTTTTTCTAGATTATGATACTCATATTCTTCATCATTTTCTGGCTCAGATTTAAGTACAAATTCTTCTTCATCATCTTCAGGAATTGTTGCCACCCTTTCCAAATCCTCCTCCAATTTGACTTCGTTTTCTATTCCATATATTTCCTCCTTTTCTTTTCCACGACTTTTTTCTATTTCCATTTTAATTTCTTTTTCTCCAGATGAATATAGAGGATCATCATAGTTTTTATCTGGTTCGCATGACTGTGTCTTCTTTGCTGCTGTGCTTTTATTTTTCAATTTGGATTTTTCGACACGTCCCCTCGATGGTTTCTTTGCCACTACCTTCGATTTTGTTGTCCTTTCTCTGCGTTTTTTCGTCCTGGCCATTTTAATAATTTTTGGTGGCTTCTCATCGAGATATAGAACATTGGGTTCTAACAATTGCACATGGGACGTTTCTGCAAACATATGCCAAAGCAAATAGAAGAATACACTTATCAAAATTTCGCAGATACTTGGGGAAGATGGGCTAGAAAAAAGTCCTTATCAAAATTCAAAAAAGTTCTCAGAATCAAAAATAGTTGATTAAGAAATATTTTTTCAATTATTAAGATTTTGTATATGACGCGAGCTCAAACTGCACTTCTTGCATCCGCAAAAATTACAATGAAAAATGACATGATGGTTCAAAAAATCAATTTTCTTGAAAGATTATCGTTTTAAAGTGTCGATGGGCATAACACTGGCCACTAGCGATCAACAAAATTTGACTTTAACATTTTTGTAAAAGTGTAAATTGTAATATTTCTTAATTCTAAATTATTTTTTTGACATTTAGTTAAAGAATATTTCAATACGATTACAAATTTATATCTGAAATTGGTGCCCAACGTAACCACAAAACAGAAAAGTAAACAAATAATAGAAAATAAAGTAAACAAGTGTTGGTTTTGCCGACAGATGTATAACCCCAGCCTTGAGTTATAATTATTCAAATTGTTGACCCTTTATGGGGGAGGTTCCGAATCAGTTGGCCAATATTGACCAATTCGTTGCTGACCTAAGTCTGATATAAATATTACAACATGACAGATAGATTTGGACTATATCGACTAATCCCTGTACTTGATATGAGACATGTGCAAATATTCGGAAAATGCGGAAATATGCTTGAGGTAACAGTTATAGCGGACCGAAGTATTCCATTTTTATACCCTACACCACATAGGGTAAGGGTACTATGTCTTTGTGCATTTGTTTGTAACATGGAGAAGGAAGCGAGATAGACCCATAGTTAATTTTGAGGATCTCCATAGAATCACTTTCTGAGTTGATTTATGCATGTCAGTCCGTCCATCTGTCCATGTATTCTTGTGAATAAAATGCAGGTTGCATTTATTATCCGATTGAGATGAAATTTTCCAAACAACATTTGTTTGGCCCAAGGACGAACCCTATTGAAATTGGAGATAATCGGTAAAAATTTAGATATAGGTCCCATATATATCTTCGTCCGATTTGCCTTTTTTTGTGCACCAAACGTGTAATATCAGCCCGAATAGTATGGAATTTTGCACATACAACCAAGTTAGGCCTGAAAATAAATATGCCACATTTGATCTAAATCGGTTCAGATATAGCTATAGCTTCAATATATATTGTTCATCATTGTTATTTTAGTCCTCCGCAGCCGTAGTATGTAATCTGTAACAACAATATTTGGGGAAATATATCAAATGCAGCTCAGAAATACCTTTGCTAAATTTTATCGATATCGGTTCAGATTTGGATGTAGCTCCCATATGTAACTTCGTCCGATTTACCTCTTATTGTGCTCCAAACGTCTAATATTTGGCCAAATGGGTTGGAATTTGGCACATACGACCGAATTGAGTCTAGAAGCTAGTATGTCAAATTTGGTGATGATCGGTTCAGATATAGCTATAGCTCCCATATACATTTTTCATCCGATTTGTTATATTTGTTACCCACAGCCGTAATATGCACACCGTAACAACGATATTCAGGGAAATATATCAAATACAGCTCAGAAATATCTTTGACAAATTTTATCAAGATCGGTTCAGATTCGGATATAGCTCCTATATATATCAAATGGGCAATACAAGTCCGAATTTGAAAGATACAAATGCTTCGGCATATTTGGTCTTTTGAAATCATAGCGTGTATTATTGAATTCTCCCATAAAAACTTTTAATTGTTACGTGAAGCTCTACTAAATTAGCAAAGTGGTGTAGGGTATCATAAAGTCGGCCCACCCGACTTTAGGACTTTCTTTACTGGTTCATACTTCATTTAATACAGATAAAAATATTGTTATGTAGAAAATTTGAAGGATATCGAACATTAACAGGGTGAGATGAAATACTGCAACCAACTTCAGACTGCTGACATTTCCAAGCCACTCGTCCGACAGATGTTAAAATTATTCCAGAGACAGCTCATTATATTGTTTAAAAGTGTACAAAATCATTTTGTTGAGAATTTTCCAGGGAAAAAGTTATTCGTGAATTCGGAATTCAGGTGTGATAGTGTGATGTCTTCACAATTGGCTGGAAAACCACAAGTGGCTATCGGATCAGTGGCTGGATCACTCCAGCATTTAAATGTGAATAAATCTTTTGAGTCTCGTACCATCGCTCGTTACCGTGATACTGGTGGCGTAGCCCTACGTCAAGAAAGTGGACAGAAGAAAACAGTAACATCAGCAGAAATGCAGCAGTTCGAAAAGTAAAGAAGCGACTTGATCGAAACCCGCATCGTAATGGCCGAAAAATGGCTCGTGAACTGAACATATCGCAATATTCCATTCGGCAAATATTAAAAAATGATCTCGGGGTAAAGTCATTGAAATTCCAAATAGTGCAAGAACTTACACTGCAACAGAAAGAGAAAGAAGATAGACTCAAAAGAGCTAGAGAGTTGCTTCACTTGGCCGAAAGTGGTGAACTGCCAAATTTGGGTTTCTCCGTCGCCGAACAAAATGATCGTGTTTACTTGCCAAAGAGGTCAGCTGAAAATGTGCACCTTGTTTGGCCACCAGAACTCAAGCGCCGGTCATGGCGATGGTGTGGGCCGCCATAACAGCCGATGGTCGCTCTCCGCTGAATCCGTATTAATCGACCGTGGCATCAGAATAAATGCCGAATATTATCGCAAAAAATATTCTGGAGGGTGTATTAAAACCTTGGGCACAAACAAACATTTTGGCCGCAGACCTTGGACATTCCAACAGGATTCCGCACGCGCCACCCAAGAATGCTTACAAAATAAGATTCCTCGCTTCATTTCCAGCGCACAATGGCCACCAAAATCTCCGGATACCAATCCGTTGGACTATTGTGTCTGGAGCATTTTGGAAAGCAAGGTTGGCACTAAAAAAATACTAAAGTGTCTATCTCGACCTCAAGCAAGCCCTTCCCCCGAAATGGGCCAAAATACCGCAGAGCAACATTCGGTCAACGTGTGACGGTTTCATTGGCCGTTTGAAGGCCATAATTCGTGCCAAAGGTGACCAATTCGGACAAATTAAAACTTATTCTAAAATTTGATGTTATTTCCGATATTTTTTGCTTTCATTCAATAAAATTTAAAAACAAAAAATGTAAAAATTATGGCCTTTGACTTTGTTGCAGTTTTTTTAACTCACCCTGTAGAAAAACGTGGACCTATACATACAATGTTTCCCACCGAAACTTGAATCCATTATGACCTACAAATACCAATTTTTAGACAAATCATCAAAATACCGAATATTGGCTATACTAAAATGTGGACCGATATTCAATATCAATCATCCTAGACACAATACAAATTTTTCTGCCAAATTTAGAAGCTCTACATACGTCAAATAATGTGGGCTGTATCGTGATTTTAACAGACAGACGAATATATACTTTATAGGGTCTACGCCAGATATTTTGAGGTTTTACAAACGGAATGACAAAGTTAATATATCCTCCTTTTCAAGGTGGAGGGTATAAAAACGATTGTATTTTTAGGAGTATTTTTTCCTCATAGATTATTTACGAATATTTTTCCAAGGGCCGATCCGTCGTAATATCACTTTTGAAACAGAAAACAGGTTCCGTATCGTGGAAAATTAGCCTTTTTTCCCAAGACCAAAAAGTATTTTTTTCATTAGAAATCAGAATGTCAGCATTCATTAAAAACGGGAGGGCGTTACTCACAGTTCACAAAGAAATCTGTTCTAAAAATTTAAGAAGGTCTTCCATATTTGGTATTAAAAAAAAAAAAGAATTCTTCACATGGGGCTAAAAGTCCTCTTTATTATAGAGAAATAGAAGATTTTCCCTAAATTGGAAGGTATTAGTCTCTTACGATAGAATAACTTATTATCTCGGATGTTCTTCGAACAATAGTCATCTTGAATAGATTGCCATCTTCGAGCAGAAATTATCTCATTGTACAGGAGAATTCCTCAAAAGCATGTTTTTATCACAAACCGTTGTTTCGTCCTGTCCATCGCTACACCTCCCTTTGAAGTGCATACACAATAATTCAATAAAACTCTTATACAATGCATTTCTCTTATACATGTATAGACAATTAAAAATAATTTATTTTTTTTAACGTTTCAACTTAAATTTAAAGTCTCCTAAATAATGACGATGTTGAGGCGGCATGGGCATGTGGTAAATTATTGCTATCATATATATTGGGAGTGAATTCATGCCGGACAACGGCAGCAGCAGCTGCTGCTGCAGCAACATTGGATGAGGGTGGTGGTTGACATATAAAACTCGAATTCAAGGCAGGATCCAAGAGATGGGCATAACTTAAAGATTGATTAAAATTAAATGTCGAAGATGCTGGTGCTGATACACCGGACGAGGATGAGATAGTTTGGGTGGCTGTGGCCGGTGTAGGATTCGGTGTTGTTGCAATGGCATGGGAGGCAGAAATACTATTACTTAAAGAGTCACTGGTTGAGTTGTCGGGCGGGGGAATAGCTGCAACTGCTACAGCTGCTGATGACGATGTGGTTTTGCTCGCCCTCTCCTGCTGCATTTGTGATCGTGGTGCAACAAGCATCTTGTTCATAAAACTTTCCGCTGGGTTACATTGAGCTACATCCAATTTCTCTCCCTTTACATCTAACCACATGCCGCCCGGCTCCAAACCGGTATAATGTGAAATATTTGGATTTGTATTGGTCAGACCACCACGTCGCTTTGGCTCCGGATGGGTAAGGAATGACAGTGTAAAATCCTCATGAAATGCTTTGTAGTAATAACTAATGGACATTATCTCCCGCTCCTCGGCACAGCACAATTCCTTGTAGTCCAAATACATGCGTTTGATGTTCAGCGTGTAGTGCAGATATTTTGTTTTACTCTTCTTATTGGGCATCCATGTGGGATACGAACTAATGTGATCCAGTATGAGTTTCTTGTCTTCCGGTTTCAATTTTGTTGTGGCCGTATTATGGCCACCCCTGCGATCGGACCCCGTGTAGCAACCGGTGTTTTTGTCAGCAAAATCAATGGCATTCGTTATGAACATGCGCGATATACACAGTGTTGACATCATAAAGTGTTTACACACCCGTTTATTTTCACCCTGCAATCCGGAGCCCAAATAGAAACGAGTGTGATAGGCTCTTGGTGGGCGATTTGATTTGCGAAACTCTGGTGTGGTTACCGATTCAATTTCTTTGGTCTCAATTCTTGCCAGAATGTAATCTTTACGCCGTTTATAGTCCATCGACCAGAATATGTCACAGATTTGTTTGCGCTCCTCTTCGGTGAATTTCGTGTGACATTTTTGTATGCAACGCTGTTGGCATTTGATGGGTTTGGGATGATGTTCGGGTAGGGGATCACCGGGTTTTCGCCTAACCCGTTTCTTTTTCGGTTCATTGGCTGCTGAGGAGGAGGATAGAGGTTTGGTTTTCTTAGCCTTGGGATCAATGGTGATTAGATCTCCTGTCTCAGGATCAAGAAACTGTTGTATCTCATCTGTTTTCTCTTCTGATTTCCGACTGGCTCTTTGTTGTTCCAACAGAGGTTTTATGACCTCAATTTCCGACTCCGGCTCATAACCTTCCAAGGCCTTTTTAATGGCATGATCCCTTAGACATAGAGTTATCTCAAAGAATTTCCGACAAACCCTCACGAAATTGGCGGTGTTATCAGCATCTGCTGGAGTGCGGTTTAAATAATAGCAACAATTGCCCCCTCGATTTGTTATCCTCTTTCGCTGCAAACGCACACAACGTGCCCGAATATGTTTGCGTATATATTGCACCCTCTGGGCATCATTTAGAGACCAATAGTAATCACAAATCGAACGACGTTGTTCGGTGGAAAATTTACTATGGCATTGTTGTTTACATTTTTCACGACACTGTTCCATTTTGGGTATGAAGTTTTTGCTCAAATCCTTGCGTGGTCTGCCACGATTGCGGGTCAGCATTATTAGGGGTTCATCTTCATAATCTTCATCATCGGAATAGGCAGCATCGCCATCGCCATCATCACCATCATTACTACTGCTGTTATCGCTTTCATCTTCCTCCACCTCCTCTTCCTCGTCAACAAATTCCTCGCCGGACAACTCCACCTTGGGTTCTGCTTCATTATCAAGCTCATCCTTTTCCTCAAGGACCTCTTGGCTCAAATCTTTATAATCTTTTTCATTAACTTTCAATATTAGATCCTTAAATTCCTGCTCATCTTCTACTCCTCCACCACCTGCTTCCTCTTCCTTGTGTGCAATAATTTCCGTTTCCATTTTAATTTCTTGATCGGATGGTGTACAAAGTGGATCATCAGCTGGAAGGAGAGAGGATTTTTGTTTACTTTGTGCACCTCTTGTTTCATAGCCACTCGTTCGAGTTTGTCTAAGCTGCTGCTGGTACTGTTCCTCCTCATTTTTGATGACAACACTGTGTTTCAATTTTTTAGTTTTACTCTTCTTCTTTTTGTTGACTTCTTTAAGTCGTGTCAACTTTTTGCAGCGTTTCTCGCCTCTCTTGGACGCCTTTATATTTTTGACAATTTTTGGCGGCTTTTCATCGAGATATAGAACGTTCGGTTCTAACAATTGCACATTGATTTCTGCAACAATATGGCAAGCAAAAAAGGCACTTATCAAAATTCCGGAGAAATGTTTTTTTTTTTTTTGTGGGGGGCTATTTGAAAAACATGTTTTTTTGGTTTTGCTTTAAAAATAAATAAGATTCTACAATTTTCACTCATAATACACTTGTGATTCGTTCCAAATGTGGAACTTGGGATATAAATAAAAATACTTTTTATGTATTTCCTTTTCCAGAAACAATCGTTAGTTTGGTGGCGTTATTAACTTAACATAAAATGTATTTCAATTCTTTGGTAGCTCATCCTTCAGAAAAAAATTTTTAAAATGTTTAAATTTTCAAATATGTTAAAGCTCTGCTCTTCAGAATTCTCTACAATTCCAAAAAGTCCGGCCTGATAAGCCAAATAATTGGTAATACTTTGAACTTATTGCAAATTGGGTTCCTTGCCATATTCAAAGTAAACAAAGCGAAATATATACCCCAAAAAAGTGCGTGAATACTAAGAAAACATGTTAAAAAGTATCAGTCGGTTTTGCCGACAGATGTATACCCTCGGCCATTGTTCGATTATTTAAATATATTTTGACTTCTGTTTTGATCATTCAAATTGTTGACCCTCTATAGCGTAGGTTCCGAAGGAATAGCCCAATATTGACCATTTTGTATCGGACCTAAATATGATATAAATATTGCAAAATGCCAGGTTTGGACTATTTTGTTTACTTCATTCAACTTATATGAGATATGTGATGATTTTTAAAAAAAAGTTAAAATATGTGTGAGTTAAAAGATAGAGTCGACTGAAGTATCCATTTTCATACTTCATCTAATACACATAAAAATATTGGTGTGGGCAAAATTACAAGAAAATCGAACATTTATTTTAAATTTTATGCGAAATCATAAATTACATACTCATCTCCGGTTTCTGGTTGAGAGAAATATTTAGATATGGCAAGTTATAAGAAATCGCTGTCTTGTTACGCAAGTTTTGATAAAAGTATTGAAAATGTTGACCCTTTGTGGGTGAAGTGCCAGAAGGGGTTCGCAGATATATATCATCTTCACAACAGATCTTGTGTTAGCAAAAATGTTTGTGTGTGTGAAATTTGAAGAGAGTTGGATGCTTATTTCGCTTTATTTGAGCGTTTTGTTTTTCAAAATCTTGAACCCTCTGTGGGGCAGATAGCAAAAGAAATTTTTATACGCTTCTTGGATATTCAAAATTGTGAGCCCTGTGGGGGAGGTACCAGAAGAACAGATCTTGTGTTAATAGAAATAATGGGATGTGTGAAATTTGAAGGCAATTGGACTCTTACATCACATCACAGTTGTAATTATTCAAACATTTTGACCCTTTTTTTCGCACCTCACATAGCACTGGCGTAAATATTGGGATTTGCAAAGTTGAGGCAAAATCGGATTATCGTTTCTCCTTCTGTGCAGAAAATATATTTTTGGAAATGTCGACCTTTTGTGGGGGAGGTACCAGAAGGAGTACCACCAGACCTTGGGTTAATAAAAATATTAGGATGTGTGATTTGAAGACAATCGGACTCTTACATCACATTTTATAAGAGTTGTAATTATTCAAAATTTTGACCCTTTGTGGGGGAGGTACTTGATGGAGTGGACCGATATTGTCCATTTTCGCACCTCACATATCACTGACGTAAATATCAGGATTTGCAAAGTTGGAGAAAATCGGATTATCTTTTCTCTTTCTGTTCAGAAAATATATTTTTTGAAAATTTCGACCTTTTGTGGGGGATGTACCAGAAGGAGTAGACCGATATATTTCATATGAATACCAATCCTTGGGTTAATTAAAATATTGGGATGTGTGAAATTTGAAGACAATCGGACGCTTACATCACATTTTATAAGAGTTGTAATTATTCAAAATTTTGACACTTTTTGGGGGTAGTACTTGATGGAGTGGACCGATATAGTCTATTTTCGCAGATGACCTAGAACTGACGCAAATATTAGGATTTGCAAAGGTTGAGCAAATTAGGATTATCGTTTCGTTTTCTATGCAGAAAAAAAGTTTTTTTTTTTTAAATTTGGATTTTTTGTGGGGGAGGTACCAGAAGGAGTGGACCGATATTACCCATCTCCAAATTCGATCTAAGTTTGACAATAATATTACGATGTACCAAATTTGGATCAAATCAGATACTCCCTTCGAGAGTTACCCGCCAGACAAACAGACAGACGGACTGACATATCTAGATCGACTCCAAATGTCTTAAAAAAGGATTTGGTCCAAAGAGACATAGGGTCCAAAACCGTTATTTCTATGAAGCACGTTCTGGCCGTATCAAATGATATGTACCCTCTGTAGCCATATGGCTGAGGATATTAAAAAATCGTTGAAAAAATGCCTCTAACATTATCAAATAAATACCGACTATGGGGTGGTACAATTTAGTAGTAAAGTTGAAATATTTCCGGTGAAAAATGTGGTTTAAATCGAGGAAATACGTAATATTTGGAGGTACAGGTAAATGGGGATTATATGAAGACGGTGGCCTTATTGGGTAAAAAACATCAGGTACTTTTTATGTCGATTAGTCCCATATTCACATCAGATATGTGGTTGATGAAAAATATTAAGATATACAATTTTTAAAGAAAATCGTCTATTTGTTTCGCATGTTCTAAGAGCTATAATCATTCATGTTTGGAACTTTGCCGAATTGGTAGAGATACGAAATGTTGTAAAACCTCATGACTCAAAATGGTAAACATACAATATCAGCTTCCTTTTAACACACAATAAAACACATAACCTTTCAAATTTTTAATACAGATATCCAAATAAATTCGGTAGAGGTGCAAAAATGACTCAAAGGGAAAATGTATGTAGTATTTTTATCGAATTGCAAAACAGTTTTCAGCGAAATAAATTTTTTCGGGATAAAGTGATGGGTTGTTTTCGATGCATTTCTCTCGTCTTTATAATCTCTAAATATCAAGATGTGTCCTGGATGCCAGCACTATGCACAAAATTGAACATACTCTGGAAGGAATTTTAAGTCTGTGGCAAAAAAATCCAAGGAAGCAAAAAAGGCTTTGCTACAATAGGCAGAAGTTAAACATGATTTGGTGGCCCTATTTATTTGCATTATCCAAGTAACTTTGGTATAATTGTGCAAAATATGGACATTATTGATTATTGTCTTTAGACATAATTCATTGTGGACCTAAGTCAAGCAATAAATAAAAATCTACATGTATTTGCTTACTAGACTAAGAAAAATTATAAATGATAGATTTTCCAATAAGAAATTTTAGCAACATAACATTTGTGTATCATAGCAAGTAACTATAGCATTTGTAACATTCGATTTCAAAAATAACATAAATCAATAAATGATATGATATAATCGTTTACATTAAAGCTGTAACTTTTACGCACACACACACATGGTAAAAGGCCAAGAACAAATTTCACCATGAACTTTGGTTTTCAATATTTTGCAAAACAAAAAAAAAACGCAAGAACAAGAATACAAGTCTCGTGTGTTGTGCTGCAGCAAAACATAAAGCAGCCACACACCATGTGTGCAGTCAGTAGTAGCGTAGCATAGCATAATGCTTTATAGTATAAATTGAACATACTTGCATACGGTTTTGTATGTTAAGATGTATGTTCGCATTGGTATCTCAATTATATATTGACACAAAAGGGGCCCTTTTAACATTTCTATGACTTCAATTATGAAATATTGCCAGACCCTATGATGATCTTGGATGTAGATTGGTACATACCTTCCATATCTAATTCAACTTCAGATTCTTCCGATTCTTCTTCTACAACAGGTTCTGCCTCATCGGCATCCTGTGTGGAAGATGGTGGTGGTTGTGTTTTTGTTTCCGTTTTGGCATCACCTCCAAAGGGACATTTCCTAGATTTTTGAATGAAAGAAAAATGTAATCAATGAATAGTGTTTATTGCAGTAGGGGCATGGCCCCACAGCAGACAGACAAGCAAGCAAGCAAACATATAAACATACACATAAACAAATATAGTTGGCTTGTTTGCAGCGCTAGCTCGCTAGGTTAGCATGCTTATTGTTTTACTCACCCTCCGGCCGGCATTTGATATTCACCCTCTGGAACTTTGCCACCAAATTTCTCTATAAATCTTTTCATGAATCCTAATTGGGGCACATTTAGTATTAAAGGATTAGCGGACACGAAATCGATGAATTTCTTCAATTTCTCCAAATCTTCGGGATTAATGGCAGCCATTTTTGTGTTTGTTTTATATTTCTAGTATATACTTGGTATATATTGGTTAGAATGTTATATTTATTTGTATTTCTGGAATATAATTGCAGCGCAGCAAAACACGATTTTTCCACAAATTTCTGAATTTTTCAGAGCTGGAGGTGGTATTTAGGCGATGTGGATAGCGATAGTATCGATAATTTATTTTTAAAGGAGATATCGATTGATGGTTTGTTCTATCGAGGTTTGCTCTGTTCCAGAACGAGCAAGAATTTAAAAATGCTCAATTTTCTTGCAATTGTGTTTTCCAGAGTCTTTGGCTACAGATCAAGGTCAAAGTCATGGTCTGACTTGATTAAAAAGAGAATTGTTCCAATTGGCGTTGTGTTAAATAAAAGCAGGCAATGGCGTATGACAGCAGAGAGACTTCAAAAATGACATGACCAAATGAAATTTATTGTACAGTACTCATTACTTTGGATTGCGTTTCCAGCGAAAGGGTTAAGCCAAAAATTCATCATTTACTTAACGTGTAACAAAAGGAATGGGATTCTGAAGGAAAAAGTAGTTAAATACTGAATTTTAAGAGTTTTCGTGGTAACAATGGTCGTTTATCATCATATGTTTTGCCAATAATTGTCATACGTCAGCATATGTGGTTCAACTTAATCAACAACATGACGCCATCTAGTATTCACTAGCAAACAATTCAATCAACTGCCATTTGAAGAAAGTGTTCATTCTTTTATTGTTCTTTTTGAAAAAGTGAAATTTGTGTGGAATTTTTTAATCATAAATATAGAAATACTAATATTAGAAAATAATTAACCGTTTTGTTGTTGTTGTAGCAGTGATAATGTGCTCCGTAGTCATTTTGTGATACGTTTTAATGGAAAACAACGCGCGCGTCCTTATTGTTTTGAGCGGTAAGTTCTAGGTTAAGAATTGTTGGCGTTTTGGCTTGTGTTTTTTAATACAGAGGTGATGAAAGTCTTATTTAATATAAATGTGGACATCCTGGGACATAAATCTTGAATTTAGGGTAAATAAATTGTAGTGAGTTTAGAGGAGGACTGTCTACAAATGCCTTGGATTCCATGAATCGAAACAACGCCCCAGTTTCGGCCGGCATTTGTTGAATCCGGAAAAGACTGCTTTGAATAAGACATTTCATTTAAAATTTGCAAGTTCCTACATCGTTCTGGAATCGTAAGAAGATCATGAGTCCATCGGTTGTGGGTAATGAGAAGCCCAGCAAATATAATGGGAAGCTACGCCTTAAGTAAGCAGTCGCAGCCAGTCAGCAGTTATGGCAAAGGAGTCTTGGCTCAAATACGCGACTTACAATGACACTTAGACCGGATGGGCGATGTTTCGATGCTCCTAAAATGACTAAACCTCTGTGCTGGTCTCCACGTAAAGAAACCCCCTTAACGCTGTTGTTAAAGGAGTAGGCAGGATGGTATAAAATGACGAGTCAATATATACAATGGTAATCCACGCCACAACATCCAATCCAGAGATGACATCCTTAAAAGATGCTAGGCTTGCTTGCCCGACCTAGTTCTGGCTGCCAAGAAATTGAATCTGCCGTTTATAGCGATAAGCCATTGCTTCTTAGTAGTAGGCGCTCTTAAAAGCTCTTAATTATTGAAGTCGATGGGGATACGTCAAATGTCAGTGACAAAGAGAAAAAGCTTATTGGAACGAATCTGTAGTTCGTTAGGAATCATCGCAACACGATGTAAATGGAACTTCCGATAAGCAGGATCCGCACACATAGAACAGTGGCAAAGTCTATCAAGGACACAAAAAGGGCAACGTTATCTGCTTAGACAAACTAGGGCTAGCCCAGTTGGCACACCTGCTACCGTCCCAATTCGAAGTGAGCACGAATTGATGGAAATGTGGCGACCATTTGTCTTCCAGTATGCGGAACAGGGTCGATCACTACGGTGCATTGCCAAATCTACCCAAGCCTGATTTATGATTACAACCTGACAAAGTAGCTGACTTTTATACCCTCAGCCAAATGGCTAGAGGGGGTATATATCATTTGATACGTCCAAGACGTGCCTTATCGAAATAACGGTTTTAGACCCTAGGTCTCTTTGCACCAAATCCGTTTCAGGACATTTGGAGTCATTCTAGCGATGTCTGTCCGTCCGTATGTCAGGCTGGTGAGCACGACAACTGTCGATGGGAGTATCTGATTTGGTCCAACCTGGGTACATCGTAATATTATTTTCAAACTTAGATCGAGTTCGGAGAGGGTGTACATCATTTGATACGGCGAAAACGTGCCTCATCGTAATAACGGTTTTGACCCTAGGTCTCTTTGGATCAAATCCGTTTCAGGACATTTACAGTCGATCTAGCTATGTCCATCCGTATGTTAGGCGGGTCAGCACGACAACTCTTGAAGGCAGTATCCGATTTGATCCAAAGTTGGTACATCGTAATATTATTGTCAAACTTAGATCCAGTTCGGAAATGGGCACTATCGGTTCACTCCTTCTGGTACCTCCCACACAAAATGTCAAAATTTTCAAAGAAAATAATATATTGCATAGAAAGAGAAAGGAAAATCCGATTTTGCTCCAACTTTGCGAATCTTAATATTTGGATCAGTGCTAGGTCAGGTGCGAAAATGGATAATATCGGTCCACTCCAACAGGTACCTCCCCCACAAAGGGTCAACATTTTAAATAAATACATCTCTTATAAAATGTGATGTAAGAGTCCGATTGTCTTCAAATTTCACACATCCCAATAATTTCATTAAACCAAGGTCTGGTGTGAAAATGGATTTTATCAGTCCACTCCTTCTGGTACCTCCCCCACAAAAGGTCAAAATTTAAAAAAATCTGATTTTGTTCCAACTTTGCAAATCCTAATATTTGCGTCAGTGTTTGGTTAGGTGCGAAATATTCGCACATTCCTTGAGAACCTCCTCCATAGGGTGTTAAACATTTGAATAATCATTATATTTTTAAATAATCGTACATTGGCTGAGAGTATACTTCTGTCGGCAAAACCGACCGACAAAACCGATACTGTTTAACCTGTTTTTTTTTACAATTGCTTTGTTGAATTCATTGTACCCACATTTTTGGAAGGCATTGTCTTAGGCTATTAGATATCCCATTTCTAAAATTCCAGTACACTCAGTAAATACTGGATGTCCAACAAAAACAAATACATCGATTACCATTACACCCTCATAAGCTATGTATTTCTATTATATTATTCTGCAATAATATACAATACAATTAATATACAACATATGATTCCTTAATTTCAAAAATAGCATATACTGACAAATTTTATTACTTTTTACAAATAAAAATGGCATAAAAGTCCTAAGGTCCTCTTTTTTTCTAAGAATTTGTGTGCGCTTTCGCCTTTATCATCAATCATTACTTGGAATGCTGGCTCTGCGAGGAAGATGTTGGTTCCAGCAACTTTTTCGCTGCGCGTCTTTTTTTGCTGATGCTCTCTTTACCGTCCGCATGACAATTGGCATAATGTTTGTCCAGGTCCTCACTTATGTGGAATCCTTTGCTGCATACCACACATATGTGTGGTTTATCGCTCGTATGACGCTTCTCGTGATCGGTGAGGTTTTTCAAGGTTATAAAACGACGTGAACAATACGAACAGATGTGTTTGCACAAGGATTTGTCATGACTTTTCATGTGGGATTTCAGGCTTTCCGATTGGGCAAAGCTCTTGTCGCACATCGCACAGGTGAACGGTTTCTCGCCGGTGTGCAGACGCTCATGGCAAACCTTGCTGTTGCGTGTACTGAATTTCTTGCTGCAATAGTCACAGGAGTAACGACGTTCGCCCTCGTGTACCACTTTCACGTGACGCGATATGGCATTGCGATGATTGAAGACCTGCGGACAACGGGGACACGGGAACTTCTCCATATCGCGAAAATGAACCCGCATGTGTGTGTTCAACTCGGTGCGTGTCACCTTGGCCACACCGCAAAATTGACAAACATATTCCTTGATTTGTTTGTGACGCTTAATGTGTTCCGTAATGGCTTTGCGCGAACTATATGTGCCCTGACACAGCTCACAGAGGTACTTGTTATCCGATGAAGTCTTCAATTGTGGCTTTGGTCTTTGGTTCTGTTCATTTTCGGTTTTCTTCTCTTTTGTGTGTTTCGATTTCCGGTGCAAATACAATTTACTATAGGAGACAAATGTCAGGGGACACATTATACAATGGAACGGCTCCTTTTCGCCCAAATGTATGCCCTTGATGTGGGCATCCAAATATAATTGTTTGTAGAATTTTTTATTACAAGTGTTGCAGAAAAATATTTGTCTGGTATCTGGATGGACTGGCGGACCGTCAAGCATGCGAAAGAGAGTTTGACCATTCTTTGATACATTGCCATTCGTTGCATTGAACACCATTCCTTGAGCATCATTATCATTATCATCAGCATCGTTGTCGTTGTTGTTATCGGCATTTTCATCACCATCTTCATTAGGATTCATTTCAAATGATGCTTGATCTTCCTGTGAGAAGCTATCGTCATGATTTATGGAATCCTCATTGAATTGTGTATCGGTAGCTTCAAATAATGGCTCAGGTTTTATATTCAGACCCATATCTGCTAATTCCGGCAGTAGCTGTTGTGAGAGAATGTTAGGAGAAAAAATAAGGATTAGCATTTATTAGCAATGTGCATTCAAGTAGCAATGTGTTCAGGAGCCTGTGGCATTCAATAAAAAAGAGAGTTTACTAAATTAAAATAAACAAGTAAAGAATCTGTAACTTTGGCCGGGCCGAACATTGAATGCCCTCCACTATTTGAAAAAAATTTGGCAATATCAAACAAAAAAATCAGTTAAAACTTCTGTTAAAATCATAAAAATACCGAATGTAGGGAGGTTATTATTATATGGGGGCTATACGAAGTCATGGACATATACAGACAATTTTCTGTCATAGGCTGTAGTATCCGTTACGAACTTCAAATACCAAATTTGAAACAATTCCGGTGAATAATGTCGCTAAAATTATCAAAGTACCGAATATCGGGGGAACCGTTATATGGGGGTTATACGAATACGTGGACCTACATGGCCCATTTTCTGTCTTACGCTGTAGTATCCATTACGAACTTCAAATACCAAATTTGAAACAATCCCGATAAATAATGTCGCTAAAATCATAAAAATACGGAATATCAGTAGGTACCGTTATATGGGGCCTATACGAAGTCGTGGACCTATATGGTCTATATTCTGTTTTAGACTGTAGTATCCATTACAAACTTCAAATACCAATTTTGAAACAATTCCGGTAAATAAAGTCGCTAAAATCATCAAAATACCGCATATTGGGAGGTAGCGTTATATGGGGGCTATACGAAGATGTGGACCTACATGGCCCATTTTTTATACCAAAAGTCCTGCATACATAATATACATTTGAGTAAATTATTATTAACCTACTTTATTTCGTTCGGAAGCTAGAGCGATTTCCACAGACGGACGGACATTGTTAAATCGACATAGAATTTTATGCTGATCAAGAATATATCTACTTTGTGGGGTTAACAAAACTTAATATACCCTCCATACTATGGTGGAGGGTATAAAAATCAGTTAATACTTCTTTTAAAATCATAAAAACACCAAATATAGGGAAGTACCATTATATGGGGGCTATACCAAAACGTGGACCTGCACAGAAAATTTCTTGCCATAGGCTGTAGTATCTATTGTGAATATGAAATACCAAATGATGAAATACTAAAATTATCAAAATACAAAATATCGGGAGGTGCTGTTAAATGGCGGCTATACGAAGACGGGGTCCTGCACAGATATTTTTCTGTCTTAGGCTGTAGTATCCATTACGAACTTCAAATACCAAATTTGAAACAAAATCTAGTGAAAAAGAAAAAAAGATTTCAATCCAATCACTTGTGCCGATGATTGAACAACTTTTTCGGCATTGAATTTTTTGCTGGGTTACAGAACATTTTTTCCCTTGCCATGGCAAACAAATTTTAACGGCTTTACATTTTTTATTTTCTTTTTTAATGTTTCTGTTCATTTTCACGATGGTGGGTGGGTAAACCCTGAACAAACCATGACAGGAACACCAACTCCCATCAGGCCAGTAAATGTTTATACCCTGAAAAACATAATTTTATGTTTAAAATGGCAGAAATACCAATGGACAACGGCATAGGAATTTTATGAGCGCTGTTATAGCCTGCTCCAACGCGGCTGCGTTTATAACTTATGGTGGTGACTCTATTTATGCAGTAAACTGCGTAATCGACGTACGTATATGAAAATCACATTTTTAAGGACTGCCCTACTAAAACTGCAAATTGGCCATGCCCGGATTTTAACTTTTTCTTAAGGGGTTTCAGTTTTTTTATACCTTCCACCATAACATGGAGAATATATAAAGTCTGTCATTCCGTTTGTAACTCGTCGAAGTAATCATTTTGGAGCCAACAAAGGATATATATTCATGATCAGCGTAGTCCGATTTAGCCAAGGCACATTCGTTTTGGGTCTAAAATTAGATCAAGTTCGAAGATGGGTTATAACGGCCAAATTTTTCCTATAGCCTCCATAACCCTCTCAATGATTTTCGGCAATTTTTTCGACGGAATTCTGGAATTTGAAGGTTGTTACGGGTTTCTAATCACCATGCTTATAGAAATATATTATTGGTATGGGAGAAAGTTATCTTGCACTATTGGAGTTTTCGATCGTTTTGCTTTTTATTAGGATTTTTTTTGAAATATTGGTACAACTGTACTAAATATTGCAGCAGTTCTAAGAATACGATTTGTTTTTAAAGGAATATGTAGCTAAGATCTCCCTATTTTGGTTTTCCTTCTATGGGACTTGAGGTATATCACTGTGGCGACCCTGTCCTTCTATTACAATCAAAATACAATGTTTTTAATACTCCATTCCACTTCTAATAACTTACCAATCGATTGTCATCATCTTCCTCTTTAACGTTTGGTTTGTCATGTTTATTATCCCGCGCTTCCGCCTCCTGCGTTTCTTGCATCGGACTTGCTGTCTCCTGATTGGAAAGTTGTTCTTCCCTTTTCACCCAACTTTCTTCTTGGTCGACAGCATTTTCCGGAATAATTACAGCTGGAACAATTTCATCTTCTTCGTCTGACATGTTTTCGGTTTTAACCAAAATCTCATCACAATCATCTGTACACATTGTTGTTGATCGTCCTTGCTCTGCGTGCGTAGGAATTGTTTCCCTCAACAACATCTGGTGCAATGTTTCGGTACTCTTAAGGGTCAGTTTCCGAAAAGCATCATAGTCCAGCAATCTATTCAGACACAACTGACACAATAGCTTGGGAAATTTTGCCAACTCCTTGGTCACGTCCATCGTCGTAAAGCAAAGAAACAATTGACATAAATTTGGTAGCAGCAAATTGTTGTTATCTGTGATGCCATCCGAATTATTTTCGAGTGTTTTTAGACAGGCTCGACACAGCTCCTGTAGATTTCGATGTGTTATTGCATCCATTTTTAACTAAATTTTTGTCTAATTAGTTTGGTTTTTTATCTAAATATTTTTCACGAATTCAGCTTTTTATGGCAATTTTTTTCTCTTTTCGTCTTTAGAGTCATTAAAGTCAACAAATACAAAACTAGAAAGCCGTTTGACATCTGGCTTGCCAACGGATAGGGATACGTAAGTCGATTTTCGATTAGTCGACTTCTGTTGCTGAAAAGTCTTACCTTGTTTACACTACACAAATAGCCTTGAATCAGGGTTGTATTTACTATGTACTTATTTTGTGATGTGTGTACGTCGTTTTATCCAATTGGGTGACTATTTAAACCCTTAGACGTGTATTAATGCCTCTCAGCTGATGTTTGTCAATGTATATATGCAAAATAAAGAGAAAATGCAGAAAGTAGCGAAACAATGATGTAAAGAAATGGCTAAAAGGTAGAAAAATGTTTGAAAAATAAATATTCAATCTTTTTGGGGAGTGTTTGCAAGGAAAATATTTATGTGAACAAACACCTGAATACAATTTTTCCAAAGACATAAAAGTGTAAAGATGGGACAAGACAGAAACAATATATGGCAACCCTGCGAAAATACCTCTGTTGTTATGATATCGTAACAACATAGCTACCAATGTTAACTGATTTAAACCGCCAAGGCAATATGCAAATTTTTGAAAAACTCTATGAAATAACATTTGGAAACCAAAATTTTGGATTTTTCCAATTTTTATTTGCTTTTCGTTTCTGTAATTGTAGTTTTCATATTAACATTTCTCTTCCATGAGCTGTTACTCTACGTATTGTAGACACAAACCATTTGCTCAAAATTCATTTTGTCTAGTCTTTACCATTTTAGGTCTTTGATTTTTCTTTTGGTAGTCTTTTAATGCCATATTGGCATGTGCCACATTGTTTTGAATAATAAACAAAGTTATTTTTCCGTTGAAATTTAAATTAATTTTTACAATTTTGCGGAATCTTTATTTTTGCGTTTTTGAATGAAATATAATTGTATTCATCGTTCTTTTAATTAGCGGGAACATCTCATTTATGGGCCATGGCTTCGACCAGATCACAAAAAAATATTATTACAACTGCAACCATTGTTTTTGGAGGACTGACTGCCTGGTAACAATAATAACCCGGACAGACCTATTATTGTTATTGGTATGAAGAACGAAATATAATGACATTTTTGACATTTCGCCTCATTTAGTATTGGATTTTTTCTATAGCAAAAATTCTTCAGGTACTGAGAACTCATTCGTTTTTCACTGAGAACAGATTTTTCAGTCTCTAATGTCGAATTTTCTGTACGGGAAACTCTCAGTGAATGTAGACTGATCCCGCAGACACTGAAGACTGATACCTTAGTCACTGAAAACTGATATCGTAGACACTGAGGGCTGGTTTCTCAGTCAATTAGTGCTGATTCCTCAATCACTCTGGATTGATATCTTACACACTGAGAGCTTAATCCTCAGACATTGAGGGCTGATTCCTCAATCACTGTAGATTGATATCTTAGACACTGAGGACTTTTTTTCTCAGTTACTGACGACTTGTACTGAGGACTCATCTGTCATTTACTGAGAACAGATTTCTCAGTTTCTAAGGTCGAATTTTTTGTACAAAAAACTCTCAGTGAATGTAGACTGATCCCACAGTCACTGAAGACTGTTTCCTCAGTCACTGAAACTGATATCGTAGACACTGAGGACTGGTTTCTCGGTCAATTAGTGCTGATTCCTCAATCACTGTGGATTGATATCTTAGCCACTGAGGACTATCTTCTCAGTCACTGAAAACTAAATCCTTACTCACTGAGGGCTGATTCCTCAGTCACTGTAGATTGATATCTTAGACACTAAGGACTTATTTCTCAGTTACTGACTACTGAACAGTTACAGTAACTAAGAGCTGATTCTGGAATCAGTCCCCAGTAACTGAGGAATCAGCCCTCAGTGATTGAGAAACCAGTCCTCAGTGTCTAAGATATCAGTCTTCAGTGACTGAAGAATCAGTCCTCAGTTACTGAGAATACATTCCTCTGTGTAAGATATCAATCCAAAGTTATCCATCATTGACAAAGAAACCAGTCCTCAGTCACTGTAGATTGATTTTCCAGTCACTGTCGATTAATATCTTAGACACTGAGGACTGTCTTCCCAGTAACTGAGGAGTCAGCCCTTAGACAGTCACTGAGGACTGATTCCTCAGTTACAGAGGACTGAATCCTCAGTCACTGAGTACTGATTCTTTAGCCACTGAGGACTGATATCTTAGACACTAAGGATCATAGGCACTAATGATTGTCTTCTCAGTAAGAGAGGTTTCAGCCCTCAGTCGGTCACTATTAACTGATATCTTAGAAACTAAGGGCTGATTCCTCAATTACTGGGCACTGATTCCATAGTGATTGAGGACTAATTTCTCAGTTACTAATAACTTAATACTCAGTCACTGAGGGCCAATTCCTTAATCACTAAGGTTGTACTCCTCTGTCACTGAGGACTGACTTCGCAGTCACTGAGGACTGATTTCACAGTCACTAAAGACAGACATAATCATTGGGAACAAATCTGTAACAGTACAATCAATTAAAAATACTAATAAACAAAATACAAAACACAATATCCAAACATTTTATTCAATTTTCGCGCTTTTTAGCTCATTTTAAAAATGGCGAGAACTATAAAATGTTGAAATATATTTTAAACACTTTTGACAGAAAGCGAGCATTGGCTATGGGCTGCAGCAGAGTAGTTTTACAAAGTAGTTTTACCACCCTATTTTACTTCGATTAATTTTATAACGATCATTAATTAAAGTCAGTGCAATAAAATATTTTCTTATTTCACTTTTTCAACAATTCGAAAAATAAATAATGTTAAATTATCTGAAGAAAAAATGTTGTAAAACAAATTTTCCATTTTTATGGCCACCAACAAAAATTTCTACAAAATGCTCAACCGACATTCCATGTTAGTCATGACCGCCATTACCAAAAAATTTGGAATAAAAAAAGCAACTCGGTACTCCAAGGCACAGCTAAGGCCATCAGGTAGGGGGCTTGCTTGGTTGCACATTTAATCCAATAAAATGCAAAAAAAGAACAACAACATTTGCAAAAAGAAAGAAGTGCATCATCATCACCCACCACCATATGTCCCACCTCACTCCACTCCACCACATCCCATTAGTCTTTGTCTTAAGTTCACGCTTTAGTCTAGCTTTAAGTTAGAGTTTGAGCTCTGATATGCTCTGATTATTACAATTAGTTTAATAAAAATCAAATAAAAGAGTTTGCAAAAAAGAAAGAAATGAAAAATGTTTTATACGACGGCATTGCGGTGGGGATAGATGGATGGATGGATGTACATAGTTCCAGCACTCGAAAGCACTAACTGATCACTTATCACTCCAACGCTTTTGGGTGCGTGTTTTTTTCTCCAGATAGAAAACAAAAATGTTGTATGAATTGTACTAAGTTATTCATATTGACTGTACCTCCAAAGTTAGTCAGCACCGTGGCACAGTGTTACGAAAACGAATTTCTCTCACATACTTAGGAAATATTGACTTTAAGAAATAAATTCTTTAGTCAAAAAGAATTGATCGTTTACTACTGTCAGTCACAGTTGACTAATACCTCAGTCACTGAGGAGTGATATCTCCGTCACTGTTTTTATGGAAACAAAAAATCCAAAGTCTTAGTTACACAGGATTTATTCCTGAGTCACTATGGATTGATTCCTCTGTCACAGAAGACTGATTCCTTAATCACTGAGGACTGATATCTTAGACACTGAGATCTTGTTTTGTCAGGACATCAGTCATGGGAAATGATTCCCCAGTTTCTGTGGAATTATTCCTGAGTATCTGAGAACTGATTCCTCTGTCATAAAGACTCAGCAATGGTACATATGTACTATGGATATCTATCCAGCAATCCATTAAATTTAAAAAAAAGACTCAGCAGTCACTGAAGACTGATTCTTTAGTCACTAAGGACTGATTTTTTAATGGGAAAAAGCCATAATCACTCTTGCTGGTTCCTTAATCACGGAGGACTGATTGCTCTGTCACGGAGGTGTGATATCCTAGACTGATTCATCTGTAATGATTTTTTGTAGAAAAAAACCGCAATCTCTGAGGATTGATTCCCCATTCACTGAGGACTGTTTGCTCAGTTACTGGGGACTGATTGCTCTCATTTTTCATTTAAAATTCCTTCACCACTGAGCACTGATTCCAAAGTCACTGAGAATTGATTCCTTAATCACTGAGGACTGATATTTTACAGAAATAATTCTTTAATAACTGCGGTTTCCTCAACCACTGAGGACTGATTTTCATTAAAAAATTGCTTAAACATTGAGGACTGATTCCTCCAACAATGAGGATTGATTCCTCAAATGACGAGGATTGATTCCTCAAATGACGAGGATTGATTCCTTACTCACTGAAGAGTGACTACTAATTTTTTATTAAAAATTCCTTTATCACTGAGTATTGGTTTCGTAGTCACTGAGAACTGATTCCTCAATCACTGCAGGCTGATTTTAATTTAAAAAATTCTTAATCATTGAGAACTGATTCCTCAGTCACTGAGGATTGATGCTTTAGTTGCTCAGTACTGTTTTTTAGAATAATTTATTAATTACTGATAACTTATTCCTCAGTTAGTAAAGATACTGATTCCTTAATCACCGAGAACTGATTGCTCATCCACTGAGGACTGACATCCTAGACTGGTTTTTTGTAGAAAAAAATCGTAATCTCTAAGGATTGATTCCTCCGTCACTGAGGACTGTTTCCTCAATCACTGAGGAGTGATATCCTAAAATTCCTTCACCACTGAGGACTGCTGCCAATGTCACTGAGAACTGATTCCTCAATCACTGAGGACTGCTATTTTATAGAAATAATTTTTAATCACTGTGGACTGATTCCGCATTCACTCAGGACTAATTTCTCAATCAATGAAGACTGATTTTTATTGAACAATTGCTTAATAATTGACTGATTCCTCCTCAATCACTGAGGACTGATTCCTAGGCACTAAGGACTGATTCCTAGTAGCTGAGGACTGATTTCTCAAACACCAAGGATTTATCCCTCAAAGGTTCAGAATTAATCTTTAATAGACAAAAAATGTTAA